TTTCATGAGGTAGAATACTTTATTTTCTCTTCATTTTAAGCTTTTTAGCAAGCGCTAAAAGCTTATTGGTCTTTTTCCACTCTCATTTTAGCCAACTCCTCTTGTTTTTACACATGCTCCAGGCTGTCGAAAAGCGCTTGAGATCGAGTAGTTACTTTTCAGTAGAAATGTCTGTTTTCGGTGTTTCACCGAGGTTGCGTGACTCTGTAAAGCTTTCCATCCTCTCGATCCGAATAGAATGACATCGTCACACACAGTACACAGAGCTTTAACGGCGACATCGAGCTTTTTCACGAAATCCGACACAAGCACAATGGTTCCTCTTTACTGTTTCCTACTGGGGACACCGTCAGCTTTCTATCCAACCAGTCCCATCGAAACGTGTTTTTCAGATCCGCATCTATCTGACGCACTTTAGCTTCGTCGCGAGTCTCAATAACATTCGGCATTCGCGAGAAAGGGCTTTCGGAAGGCGAACACGGATTGGTTGTGATTTGCATTTGCCGATATAGCGACCAATCACAACAAATAAGACATCATAGACGTCCAATCGCAGGGCTGTTTACAATCTGAAGATGGAAAGACTGATCGGGAGAGCTCGTGAAAACTCGACGACAAGGTACCTGATCCCCCCTAAAATTTTCTCAACGGATTTAGACGATTCACAAAAATGATCAATTTAAGAAATAACACGGCGGATTTCCGCGTATCCGCGGAAAATTGCCATCACTGCATATAATGCAACAGTTCTGCAACATATTCTCCCCAAATGAAAATATGAATTTTCAGTTGTTGCAAAATCAGTTCAGGATGCTATAATTTGTGGTGTAGATGCGAATTTAGGAGAGCAGGACAATACATCGCATTGCAATTGGAACAGCAGCTTGGTTGATGACGTGCCCAAACCGGCTCATCTGTTATCTTTGTCGTGCAATACAACGAAAATGAATACAATTGAAAAACATATGCTTCTTATATTTTAAAATAAAATAATTCACACGTTTACCGTTCTGGGGCTTTTACAATCATGTATGAATGCATTATTTACAGCAGGTGGACAGCAGTGTGATCGAGCAGCTTAGATGGGGTAGAATTTTATTGGGGCTTCACCGATTTATTTCAAACAATTCATATCCAAAACACAGTTGAAAAATATTTGATTGTTAAAATATTTAAATACAAGAACTATATCAAGAATTTAACAACACATACACAGTTTGTTTTTTTTAATCAGAAGACAAGTCTCAAAACATATCACAGATGCCAAACGTTGTGCCTCTCTTCCTCCTGTTCTTTAATGAAGCTGATCACCCTCCAGCTCCCGTTTGAAACATTGTGCTGCTGAAGGTGTGCCGGCAGAAGGGCTGTGATGCAGGAGGTGCTGTGGAATCTCCCAGAAATTAGGACCGAGTTTAGTTGTAGGTCCAGTAAAACATCGTGCAAATGTTACATAATTTATAATGCACAGTTACAATTATATGAATATTAAAAAATGTACTTCATGTAATGCAGGCAAGCGAATAATTCAAACGCACTAAGGCAGCAAACAGTAATAACAAATCATGTTCCAAACATTCACTTTAACTCCTTTTTCATATCAATTAGCTTGTGAGTAATAAGCCAAAATGTGACTGTCGGATAGAGAACTGTCAGAGCAAGCGGCAGATTTTATTAAGTCCTGCCGACATAAAGCTGCTCCCGGCTGCGACTGTCAGTGTTGAACTGCCACCATTGCTGTCAAAGTCGGACACATCTCCGAAATCGTTGGAGCAAATTTTTAAGCAGGCTTCATCTTGATAAATTGACCACATATTTGACATTTACACAATTACTTTACCGCCTAAAATAATCGTAAAACAACATTTTGTGTCACAATAAGAGTAATATTTACCCCATTTACACATTTCAATGTGTCTGAAAGTTTTATCCTCGGCTTTTGTCGCTGCTTGGCTCGAAATGCATCATGATTGGCTGCCCGAAGTCCATGTGTCTGTCGGACGTGCTCTCATTGGTCTACAATGCATTACGAAAGAGAGCACGTCGGATGAATAAATGGACAAAGGGCTTGCCATGAAGCCCTGAGTATTTATTCCATATTGCCCACTAGTTCACTAATGCGCTCATTATGAAGCTTACTAGTGAACATGTATGCCACAAACGCCCACTAGTGAGCTCATTTTGAAGCTTACTAGTTCACATGTATGCCACAAAACGCCCACTAGTTCACTACTGAGTTCATTTTGAAGCTTACTAGTTAACATGTATGCCACAAAATGCCCACTAGTTCACTAGTGAGCTCATTTCGGAGCTTACTAGTTGACATGTCAGGCCATAAATGTGCACACTTGTTCACTAGTAGCATATTAGCACTTACTAGTTGACATGTAAGACCATAAATAAGTGCACTAGTTCACTAGTAAACTCATTTTAGCGCTTACTAGTAGACATGTAAGGCCATAAACGTGCGCACTAGTGCCACCACTTATGTTACATGCAAATAAGGACGAATACGGATGCATACAACGGTTTCCTATTGGCTGTTCATTTCAAAATACAATGGTGCCTCTACTTATGAAAGTTGCTTCATACGAAATTATCAAGTCATGAAACGCCTCAACATGAAAATATTGCCTCTTGTTGCGCAAGAAATTTCAAGATACGAGAGGTAAAAATACAGTATGGATCGCCCGTCACAGCTCTGAGTTTCATGACGCAACACACTTATAGCTGCTCTGTCATTGGCTATTCCCGAGTATCACCCTGGCATTCCATTGGCTAAGAGGGAACTCTACCGTGTGTGTCTGTGTGTCGAGAGATTGATGTGTATTTATGCAGCATCCTCGTCATTCGCCTCTCGGGCCATGAGGTCTTCCGATACGATAGTTTTACGAAATTGTGAATCCCCTGAAAAAGTGTTCGCGAGTCGGGCAATCGCTCACTCTGCTGATGTTTACCTTGGACATTTTCGAAGGATTGTCAAAAGCCAATAAAAGCAAACGTCCTTGGATCGGTTATTTACAAAACGTCAGGCAAAAACCACTTTCTTGAGAGAACATGAGCAAAAGAAGGCAGTTAAAGGTTATAGTCACGATAACCTTTAACTGCCTTATAACAGGCGAGAGAAGATGGCATTACACTATTCGTGCCAGGTGCAGAACTGGAGGGGACGACCCTTCAATGCCACCTGCCGGAGACAGACGTGACAGAGTCATGACACACCCACTGGTCATTATGCATCTGCATACTGTAGTATCTCAAGTGTTTATGTGTGACGGGGGTCACAACTGTGACAGTCTCAAGCTCCACGTCGCTGCCGCCTCAATAAGACCAGACGCGTGGAGTGTGGCTTTTCTCTCTTTTTTATTGCTGAAACACAGTATGGCAGGGGAATGGTGAAGTCACGTTTGGTGTCGGACATAGCATGTGACTTGCCTCGTAGCTCTTCCTGAGCTATATCATCATCTTAGCAAAAGAAAATAAACAAGACCAAATACAAAACATGGGTGATTGTATAGTGATTATTTACGAAAAAAAAGAAAAGATGCACACACACTGCTCTTTGCGTGATGCCACCGAACGCATCACACGCAGCAGAACGGCTGCGCAACGCACAGCAATGGCGGCCGCGAAGAACCGCGGACACACGCCAGCAACAAACACAACCAGCCATATGAAAAATGACATGAAAAACTTTATACAGTACAGCTAAAAGGGAAACAAACATTACCTGAAACACAGTATGGCAGGGGAATGGTGAAGTCCGTTTGGTGTCGGACATAGCTGAGTAACAGGAAAGCACTATTAACTCAACGGGTAAAAACTTTCATTCGACAAAACGTAAAATTAAATAACAATATAAAAAGCGATTTGGACTTGGGACAAATCATGGAACTAATTAAAGACATAGCACCGTAGAAAAAGGAAAAACAAAATGAAATATTGTAATTAAACTATAAATGAATCCGGACCGTCAGTGAAACGTGACTTACCATGTGACTTCCCTCGTAGCTCTGCCTGAGCTACGGTCGAGACTGGTGCAACACTGTGTGCTGTTGCGTCACTTCCGCGATAATTTAATAAACGCAATACTGTGTATCACTCCGTTACGTATGTATCCCATTTTGCAGGCAATATCACATCGGTGAAATTTGTGACCTATACGATGAATATATTTTTAATGTAATATTTAATAGCTTTATAATAAGACACAATAAGTATTGTGCATGTTTTCTGTTTTTTTATAACTATGTCGCTACTTTTTGTCTTGATGTGATTGTGATACATATCACCAACAGAGGGCGCTGTGTGTTTAGAGAGGACAGCATATGACAAGGCTTCCGGTAAAGACAAGACACAGAGATCACCATGCGTGCTGGCAACAATAAAGTTGAGCTTAGGCTCATTTGTTCACTAAATGATGGCTCATCATATTAAGATGAACAACACATGGTACCAGGAGTGAATACCAAGTCGTGCAGCATTTTTTTTTTTCAAGATGGAGACGCTAAGGCCACCAGAAGGACTCAAACTTGTCGGTGATGTGGATGCTAACTCTTTTAAGCAGTAGTTCGAGCTATACCTAGCTGCTTTGGATTGGGTGCAAGCTCCCACGCCAGGAAGATCGCGCTTCTACTCACTGTCGCTGGTCCTCAAGCCATTGAAGTCTTCAACACTTTTGAATTTGATCAAGCTGACGACAAGGTATATACGAGAAGAGGATGAGAGAAAGGCTACTTAGAGAGGCTAAGGTCACTTTGGAGGAGGCAGAAAGGATCAGTCATGCTGTAGAGCTAGCTCAACACCACGCCAAGACCTTCAATGAGTGAAATCCTCAAAATAAGCCCCAAAATAGCGGTTGTCAAAAACAAAACTAAGAGAAATGTGATGCAAAACAAAAGCTCAGAAAATACATTTTCATGCAAACGTGGTTCTAAACATGAGCCCAGGCAGACCTGCTTTTGGCAAAAAGTGTGCAAAATGTAATGGAAAGAAGCACTTTGCCAAGCAACGTCTATCAAAAGCAAAATCTAGATCTGTGAGACTAGTTGAAGAAACTGACCTCAGTGAGACATTTTTTTGTAGGCATGGTGCATTGTGACACAGACAATGTAGAAAATAACACATGCAAAGAAAATGAAGATACATGGATAGTGTCCCTACCAATTAATGGAGCACAAGTGGCACTGAGGATTGACACCGGGGCACAAGCAAACCTCATCAGCGTGGCGGTAATAGGTGCCATGAAGGAAAAGCCCAAGATTATTATCAAGAAAGTGCTACTAAAAGACTACAATGGACAAAGCATTGAAAGCAAAGGTCAGTGCAGATTAAAAGTGAAAGTAAAGAATAAAGACAATCATGTATTGTTCACAATTGTACCTGAAGGGTGTGAGTCACTACTTAGTGGTGAAACTTCAAAAAGACTAGACCTAGTTAAGAGAGTCTACCAAATCAGCTTCTCACCAGGTACACAGTCAGTGGAAAATATTGTGGAACAATATCGGGATGTATTTAAAGGACTTGGATCTCTACCTTACGCATACAAAATCCAACTGAAAGAGGATGCGACACCAGTGATTCATTCACCTCGAAGAGTCCACTCCAAGAAAGGCTTAAAAAGGAGCTGGACAAGATGTGTAAACTTGAAGTCATCACTAAAGTCGAAGAGCCGACTGAGTGGGTCAACTAGATGGTTTGTGTGGACAAAGGGAATAAAAACAAAGATCTGAGAATATGCATGGACCCTGGTGACTGAAACCAAAACATCAAACGTGAGCAGTACCAGATTCCGAAACGAGAGGAGGTTGTGAGTGAAATGGGCGTAGCCATGTACTTCTCAAAGCTTGGTGCAGCACAAGGGTTCTGGCAAATAAAGCTCGAAGAGAAAAGCTCAAAGTAGTGCACATTTAATACTCCGTTTGGCAGGTATAGGTTCTTGAGAATGCCATTTGGAATAATCTCAGCGTTAGAGATATTTCACAGAGCCATGGACAACATGCGAGAAGGACTTGAAGGGGTTTGCTGTTATGTGGATGATGTTGTCACATGGGGCACAACCTTACAGTAACACAATGAAACACTGGGAAAAAAATGCTAGAAAGAGTACGTGGAAATGGATGGATAACACAATGAAAAAATGCTAGAAAGAGTACGTGGAAATGGATGGAAAGTGAATCATGCGAAATGTTAGGTGTGTAGGAGATGACGTTTCTGGGGATAAGTTGTCCAGCAGAGGCAGTGAACCGGATGAAAGGAAAATAAAAGCCATCCTTAGCATGCCTCGCCCCACAGACAAAAAGGGTGTACTAAGAGTCATGGGAATGATTAACTTCATTGGAAAGTTTATTCCGAATCTGTCAGTGAAAACATCAGCCATGAGAGAGCTACTTCATGAGGCTACAGAGTTTAAATGGACGAGTCGACATGAGCAAGAGTGGAATGTTTTGAAAACTACGCTCATGACTGCACCAGTTTTGGCGTACTACGATTCAACAAAAAGACTGAAAATCTCAACAGATGCATCAAAAGACGGTCTTGAAGCTGTCTTACTACAAGCAGAAGGTGAAAATTGGAAACCTGTAGCTTATGCTTCGAGATCCATGACAAGAACTGAAACAAAATATGCACAAATTGAGAAAGAATGTTTGGGATTGGCTTATGGACTGGACATTTTCCATTGCTATGTGTATGGCCTTCCAACATTCACAGTTGAGACAGATCATCACCCATTAATATCCATCATCAAGAAGAACTTGAGCAAGATGTCGCCAAAAATCCAGCGCCTCATTATGAAAATGCAGAGGTATGATTTTGAATTAATTTACACACCAGGCAAACATCTAATGTTAGCAGATGTGCTATCAAGAGCACCAGAGCTACACCACACTAGCTCCACTGAAAGTGATGTCGAGGCTTATGTAAACCTCATATTGGAGTCCCTGCCGGTCTCAGATTCAAAATCGAAACAAATAAGGGAGGAAACCATGAAAGACACAGAAATGCAGACGGTGATGACACATATGAGAGAAGGCTGGCCGAGAGGATCATTAACAAAGTATTACCACATCAGGTCAGAGCTCAGTGTTACAAATGGACTATTACTGAGGGACAAAAGGATTGTCATTCCGCACAGTATGAGGACAGACATACTGCAAAGGATACATGAAGGACATTTAGGAGCCGAGAAATGCAAGAGAAGGGCCAGGGAAGCTGTATACTGGCAAGGCATCAACAAGGAAATTAAAAATATGATTGCAAAATGTGAAACATGTCAAAAGTATCAGAGCAAGCAAGCAAGGGAGCCTATGCTGATTCCAGATCTTCCCACCGCTCCTTAGAAGAAAGTTGGAACAGACTACTTGCTGGTAATTGACTACTATTCCAGTGGACAAGATTACTTGACTACTATTCCAACTATCCCGAAATCGCCTTGCTCACAAGCACAACTGCAACCAATGTCATAACACATGTGAAATCCTTCTTCACAAGACATGGGATACCAGACATTGTAGTTAGTGACAATGGACCCTGTTATAACTGCAGGGAATGGCATGCTTGTGGAGGGTCTCAGTCGTACAGGAAAGTTCCATCGCAGAAAGGGTTCTGTCAGTCGTCATCTGTACCTGTGGGTAAAAAACAAAAAACAAAAAAGGACGTTTCGCTTCTTTCACAGAAGCTTCGTCAGCGGTAGACAACTCTGAAGTCTCCGTGAAGACTCCGGGCATTTGCTCTGCGCTAAAAAGCTGAGCGTGGCCTATTTGAGGACTGGGTGGGGATGGTTAGTCACGTCCCTATGGTGAAGAGGCCCATTGATTTCTAAATTCCCTATCGTTGGGTCTTGATTAGGCCTATTGTTTGGGCTAGGGCTGAATAGCTACTTTCAGTTAGCCTGATCAGCATGTCTATGTCCCTTGGTGGTCAACAAGTTATTGTAAATAGGAGACAGGTTAAATCTGACAGTACCGCACCTCTTGAATGTGGCCAATCACCTGCTGAGTTGATCATGAATCGCAAGCGTCGCACAACTTTGCCCTGCTGTTCAGAAACGAGACAGAACAAAGACATTCAAAGTAAGATGGACGATCTAAAAAGCAAACAAAAGCAACATTATGACAAAGCGACCAAAACACTTCCACCGCTGGTCAAAGATGATGTTGTTCGAATCCAGGATCAAAAGGTGTGGAACAAGAAAGCTACAGTACTCAAGAAAGTTGGACCAAGGTCATACGAAGTGAGAACGGAGGACGGAAACGTGTTCAGGAGAAATCGTCGAAACCTTCGCAAGACCAAAGAACATTTCCAAGAGATTGATAATGAAACGCCAAGTGAGGATGTTGTGTCGACTCCGACTGAATCCAAAATGACTGAACTGAACGAGAATGGTCATGAACCATCGTGAGAGAATGATACCTCAACTTCACCTGTTTTAAGGAGGTCCAAGCGTAATATTAAGAAACTTGTCAGGCTTGATTTGTGAAAACGCAAATATTTACATTTTTTTTGTAGATTGACAGGTGTTTAAAAAAGGTTGTTCATAATAAAGAAATTGTTTACGCTAGCTAAAAAAAACAACAAAAAAAGACATTTGCATGTTTGCATGTACTGTATGTGGAACTGTATTTTTTCTTATAAAGAAAAGGGAATGTCTTGATACAGTGAAACTCCTCTAGAACGAAACCTACATGGGCGAAAATACCCCCTAGTATGAAAAAATCTTCATGCATTAACACCATTCCCATTCTCCTGCCCCCCCATACGACGAAAAAAAAACCCCTGTTGCGTTATACGAAATCATTTTCTCTGCTCTTGCCTCGCTAAGAGATTCACTACAACGAAGTCTAATCCAACAGCGACCTCTACTGCTTCGTTCGGAAACGGCAACAGCAACCACCACACTGGTTTACATAGTGAATGATTTTTATTTCTGTCACAGCTCCGAGTTTCCTGAGCGCAACATACTCATAACTGCTCTGCCATTGGCTTACCGAGCATCATCCTGGCCTC